CCACATGGTAGAGAAGATAATTCTACATCTAGAATATATTGCAGGCTACATGGGAATGCCAAAGAGGAGTAAGGATTCTAAGAGGGAATGAGCCCTTCCAGTTGAAATGATCAAAGAAAACTTCCTGGAGGAGATAGAGTCAGGAGTCTAGAAGAGAAGTATTTCAATGGAGTTAAGTATCAAAGGGTGGAGTTAGTGGAGAGGATTTCTCAGCGGGCTGAAGAGAGTGGGGGAGGGGTAGAACAGAAAAAGTGTGAACAAAAACAAAGAGATGGAAAAAGGCAGAATTTGAGGGGAATAAGAAATAGATAATAGAGATCATGTGGTAGGATTAATGACAGACACTCTGAAAAACCAGGTTAGGCTAAATTGTAGAAAAACTTGAATCTAAATTTTAAAACTTTGTACTATATGCCATTGAATAAAATACAGTGACACACTGAGAGTAATTTTGACAGAAATAATGCAGGTGATAGTCTGAAGTGAGGTAGAAGAAGTTGTAATAGAGTAGAAGTAAAAGATGGGATATTTTTCCAAAGGAGGAACCGATAGGATTGTGGAAGTGTGAGTAACAGAGGAAGAAGTTAAAGAAGACAGAAGTTTTGAATTTGGATGGTGGAAGAATGGCAGGATACTGAAATAAATTCAGGAAAACAAGTCTTACAGACAAAGGATGAATACAATTTTGGATATATTGCACTCTGAAGTGACAACTAAGACTTCCAAGTGGAATTATCTGATAAACTTTTGGATATGTGAAGGTGGTGATTGGAAACTCTTGGAGTAGATGAGATTCCCAAAGGTTGAAATATGAAGAAAGGAGATAATGTCAAGGACAGAATTTCATATTTATGGTTAGAGAATGGGAATAAGAGAGAGAAACTGTCAGAAGTAGACAGTTAACAGTGGAGCTCTCCAGAAGTGGGGAGTGTGGACATCCTTGCCTTATTCCCAAGACTTACTTGTTTCCAAACTTAGGGGAAGAATTTAGTTTTTCATTAACTGTGATGTTCGCTGGAGGATTTTTTATAGATTCTTTTTATAAGGTTAAGAACATACCCTTCTGCTGCTAGTTTACTGAGAGATTTTACCATGAATGAATGTTTCAAAATGGTTTTCCTGCATTTATTAAGATGATTGCATGGTTTTCTTTTTTAGAGTTCAATATGATGAATTGCATTGATTGCTTTTGTAATGTTGAACCAACTCTGCATGATAATGATATATTATCCTTTTTTAAAAATCACTAAATTCTATTTGCTAATACATATTTTTGTAATGTCTTTGATTTTGGTGTCAGGGTAATGCTGGCCTCCAACAATGAGTTAGGCAGTGCTCCCTGTTCTTTATCTTCTGGAAGAATTTGTGAAGGACTGATATTACCTCTTCCTTAAATAGTTGGTAAAATTCCAAGTGAAAGCAACTTGGCTTAGAATTTTCTTTGTAGGAAGGTTTTTACCCATGAGTAGACTACAGGGCTATTCAGAGTATTGGTTTTCATTAATAAATTTTGCTGGTTTGTGTCTTTCAAACTTTGCCTGTTTCTCATCTAAATTATCCAAGTTTCTTATGTCTAGGTGTGCATAATATTATTAACCTTTTAATGTCTGTAGGCTCTAATGTAATATTTCCCTTTTATTTCATTTACATCTATTTGGTTTCTACTTGTCCCATCTGCTCTTTGTTTTACATTTCTCTTCTCTTCTGCTTTCTTTTAGATTAGTATTTTTTATGAGTCCAAAAAGTGAATATTATTTGGGATAGACAGAAGGCAAGATGTGAGCTGTCATGTATCCTAACTGAAATTCTCTTAAAGTGAGATGCATGATCATAAGCTGAGGGTGGGGGAAATGTTGGCATCTTAAATAGAGAAGGTTAGAATATTTGTCTTGGGAGGCCTCCTGAGAAAGTAGTAAGAGATTAACATGTGGATTTCTAAGCATTAGGAAGGGCCAGCTCAAGTAAACATGTAACTGATAATACTATCTTAATAGTAGGATGGCTCAAATCTGAAGACATGTATCAAAAGAGGCCTTAAGAACTGGAAAATGTGGAGAAAATATAATGGAATTATGGTGGTGCATAGGACATTTCACATTTCAATCATAATAAAATCCATTCATGTTTCCCTTAATAAGTTTGAAGATATCAGCCTATTTTGCCAGGAGTCTTGAGCTTTGACTTAACTGGCAGCTCTCTTTTCACAATATTAAACACTCAGCAGTTTACGTAGGGTAGACGTGCTCGAGACATGCTCACTTCAGGGAGACCTGAGTGAAGTTTCTCCCATTTTCTCATAGCTAAGTTATCTGAAAAGCCAGAAAAAGGTGGAATAGCTGAAAGAAATTGTTATTGGTGAGTGGAAATAGAAGGAATGGAAAGTTGGCGGGCCAGCTGGATATTCTGTAGGACTAACAGGTTTGGAAACATATTTGCAAGACCAGGATTAATTAGTCTACTCTTCAAACTGATTGCATTTTGTGTTGTATTCTTTTGGTTTGTAAAAACTGTGATTGCTTGAATTGTGTAGTGAAATGTGAACTCAGGATAGAGGCACAGTTTATCCGAATCCCTTGCTGTCTATAGACATTATTATTTCATCTACGTGTTGAAAATCTGTGTGATCAAAAGTGGGAAAATCACAATATGACAGGAATATTTCATTTGAATTATTTTCACTGTTACAACCAGTTCTCAGAATAAATTTTTTGACAGCCTCCAACTTCAGTAGTAGAAAATGTAATGTTTTATGTAAAAAACCAACCAAACAAATAAACAAACAAAACGAAACAACAAACCTTAATGTAGATATTTTCAGTAGACAGAAAAATATAAACTAACTCATACTTTTCCTGCAGTGGCCACTATGGTGTATAACAGTGGAGAAGGATACAGACTTGAGTCAGACTGTCTGGTTTTAAACACTGGCTTTTCTACTTACCAGCTGTGTGATCCTAGACAAGATGCTTAACCTTCTTTTTTAAAAGATTTTTAATAAATTAATTTATTTTTGAGAGAGAGAGAAAGAGAGAGCATAAGCGGGAAAAGAAGCAGAGGTAGAAGCAGAGTCCCTGCTGAGCAGGGAGCCTGATTCAGGACTTGATCCTAGAACCATATGGGACTAGATCCTAGGACCCCAGGATCATGACCTGAGCATTCGGCAGCCGCTTAACCAACTGAGCCACCCAGACATCCAAGATGCTTAACCTTCTTATGCTTTAGTGTCTTTGTCTGTGAAATAGGAAAACAGTTTTGTCTCATAGACCTGATGTGAAGGTGGAAATGAGTTAATGCATGTATTAATACATGCTTAAACTGGGCCTGGTGCATGGGATGTACTCAGTGAGTTGTAGTTGTCACCAGGGTGAAAAAAGATTAGTTAGGCTCTGTGCATCACCAATAATGGGTCTGAGCAAATATCTGAATGTCAAATTTACACATACTTGATAGCTACCTTAAAAAGATACTAGGCATAAAAATGCCAAATGCCATCCATTTGAGTGTGACATTTACAATTTAAGTTTTTTCCTGGTATACTTTATGTATGTATGTATGTATGTATTTTGCTAAGCATGGCAATCATTTCCTCAAATGTAATTTTAGGGAAAAATAATAAACAGAATGAAAATTATGTAATATTATGTAATTTTGATGTTAGTAAAAATAATTGTAATTATGTTTCAGCATGCATTTTCTAAATCAGCCATTTGTGGCTTTTTAAAAATAAAATATCATCATGTACAGAAAGGCCAGTACAATTAAGGCAAATTTTGTGTCTTCTATAAGTGATGAAAATTAGCACCATGAGTTTTATAATATAGTAATATATTAGTAAGGGCCAAGTGGTAGTATAGTAGGCAAATGGTAAAATATAGCAAGTAAATGGCATGTGGTCTAGGGAAATATTTTGGATAAAAACTAAACTACATTCTAAAAGGGGAAAGGAAATTAGCATTAAATTGGCAATATCCATTATAGGCAATTTCTCCCCATATACTGTTTCATTTTTTTATCTTTCAAAATCCATAAAATAGGTATGTATTAACCCCATTTTACTAATGTTAGAACAAAAGTTCACAGAGTCTGACTTCAACAATTATTCAAGGCTATTTAGGGGTAGAGCTAGGGGTCAGGTCCTCGCCATTTTGATTTCAAAGCCCATGACCTCTCCATTACATTTGTCTGCCTCCCAGAAGTGATCTGTATACCACTGATCAAGTTTAGCACAAAAATCGTAGCTGATCCATAAAACAAAATTCCCCCCGTTTTTCAGTATCTTGTAATTCAACGAGTTTCATTTATTTCCATACTTTTCCGTTGCATTTCATTTTAATAAGCATTTGCTACTAAAACACATACTGAAATGACCCATAACTTCGGGGTTAACAGTGGAAAAGTGCTTACCTTGGGTTGGTTCTATCTGTCATAAACTAGTCAATTCACTTTGGAGCCAGCCATTTCACAGTGTGGAAGTTCCTCTTTTCATTTGTATAATGGAGGAAAAGTACTAGGTGATCTTGAATGTCTGTTTATTCCATCTCTTTCAATGCTCTATGATACTGAGAAATCCTCTCTACTATCTCCACCCTTTGATACTTAACTCCATTGAAATACTTCTTCTCTTCAAGACTCCTGACTCTATCTCCTCCAGGAAGTTTTCTTTGATCATTTCAACTGGAAGGGCTCATTCCCTCTTAGAATCCTTACTCCTCCTGCAATATATTCTAGATGTAGAATTATCTTCTCTACCATGTGGTAATTGTAAATCCATATCACATTTTCCCGAATGGCCAGAAGTTCAAATACGGACCACTTTCATAGAGAACTGATTTCCTAGTTGGGAGACTCCAACTTCTTGAAAATTCCCAGGACTTTAAAAATGACTATAGATGCAGAATTTTGTAAAAAGCAAACCCAGAATCAGTTTTTTAAGGTCCTATAAATATTCCTAATCTCTGAATCTGGGATGTCCTAATTTTTCTTTTCCATATTTTCCACAGGATTATTTTACAAATGCAAATAGGGAGTTGAAAAAAGATGCTCAGCAAGATTACCACCTGGAATATGCCATGGAAAATAGTACCCACACAGTAGTTGAATTTACCAGAGAACTGCATACATGTGACATAAATGACAAGAGTATAACGGTAAGGAGCCGATGAGAGAATACATGCACGAATATATTGTACATTTACGGTTGTGAAACACTTTGTAGAATTAAAGGAACAAATATTTACCTTTGAAAACAAAGTCACACAGTCTGTTTTAGGATATCTTTGAAATCTTTTTAGAAGCCACAAAAATCTAAGACTATATATTTCAAGAAAGGCAATTTTTGTGTGACTCTCACGTTTTCAAGGGCCATTTAAAATGAGTATGATTTTATCTGTAAGATTTCTAGCTTTTTCTGTATAAAGTTTGAGAATACACAGTAGATAAAGGTTGGAAAAAATGTATTACACAAGAAGGAATGATGATACTGAATATCAGGGTATAATTCATCTGATTTATGACTGGTTCATTTTTGTAAATTTCTAAAATTGAGATGAATAATAGATTGATTAAAATTGCCTACTGACATGTTATACAAGATTTCTTATTGTCAGACTTCATGCAAACATTAATATCTTTATGCATATGCAAATTAAATATTTAGACAGTATATAATTCATGTGGTACTTGGGAAGTTTCCATGAATTTCTTGGATCGATTTTATTTTGTATAGATCAATCAAATTATCTTTTTTATTTGATAAATCAAAGCTTTAAAAATGGGAATGTAAAAATCTGAAGCACTTTTGATTAACATTCAGCATAAAGAGTAGAAGAAGAAAAAAACACATGCAAAGACATGGATCACTTTTTATGTAATATACAGTGCAATTATACTTTAATTGGAAAAATAATTATAGTCATTTGACTTATTAAGAAAGAATATAGCTTTTAAAATAAATAGCTTTTGCTTTATTATTTATTTTCAAAGTTCTTATTACGAAGATCTGGCAGACACCTGGATCTGTGGGAGGACTGAACAACTTCTTTATAACTCAGCAAGCCCTCCCCCTGCCCCAGCATCCCTTGGGCAATCTCTCTTGCTTGCTAAATGGAAACCAATTTCACCTGACAGTACTTTCCCTAGTTGGGATACCCTAGTCCCTTGGAAATTCCCAAGATTCATAAATGACTGAAGCTAGATTCTAGGATAATAAACCCCAAATCAGAAATTCCTCCTGTGTTTGCACTTTCTGTCAATTCATACATGTCACCGGGCTAGTGCCTGGGAAAAATCTATTATGAACGAAAAGGTGCCGACCCAGAAAGTCATTTTAATTTTCATTCTGTTTATTTTTTTTCCCTAAAATGTTGCATGGCATTAAAACAGGTTTTAATTTTCTAGAATCCTTGCGTCTTAACAAGAATATTTCCTTGGTAACTATGAGTTGCTAGTTTGCAGACCTAGCGTGACGATGATTTACTGCTGCCATGTGTATGAAAGCATAACCACCGAGTCTGTTGCTCTTTGCTCTCTCTTGGAAGACATAATCTTGCATGCTGAGAGAGACCGTCTCTTCCAAAAAGAAACTCATCTATTTGGATACTTAATGATTTAATCAAATTGATGCAATTAATGCTAGAGACCATACTGAGGGATCCAAATGTCATTATTCTCTTTTCTCCACGTCTCTATCCGGCTTTCAGTAGAGTTCTCTAAACTCAGCTCAGTGGTAAGGATGGTGCTCTCATGAGACATAATAATGCCCCTGTCTGATCACCAGGAGAGCACTGTGAGAGTGATCTGGGCTTACCATCATGAAGATGTGGGCGAAGCTGGCCCCAAGTACCATGACTCCAATCGTGGCACTAAAAGTCTACGGCTGTTGAATCCTGAGAAAACCAACGTGTTGTCTACAGCCATACCATACTTTGACCTGGTGAATCAGGACGTAAGTTTTTTCAGGTTTTTATGATTGGAAGGGTGGGTTTCTTGAAAGCATGTGAGAGTTTTTACTTACATGCTGTTTAACAGTGTGACTTTGTGTCCCCCTCCCCTTTTTATTAAGACAGGTCCCCATCCCAAACAAAGGTACGACCTATTGGTGCCAAATGTTTAAGATCCCTGTGTTCCAGGAAAAGCATCATGTAATAAAGGTATGTGACTCACTCACAGGTTAAATTTAATGTGTATGAATGGAGGAAAAATTGTTATTAAAATGAAAATGACTAAAAGAATAGAAATGATTTTCAAGTATGTGAAAGTTATTTCAAGAACAAAGAACTGGCTTATCTGACTCACACCCTATCTTAGGAGTCACTGAATTTAGAGAGAAATCTTGGATTATAGCTAGGATTTTTGGGTTTTGTCTCCTAATTTTACTTCTTAAGGTAAAAGTTTTGGGATGCATTTGAACACTGCTAGTTACTTCTTTTTTCTTTTTAAAAAAAGATTTTATTTATTTTAGAGAGAGAAAGAGAGCACGCATGCGTGCATGTGCACACAGGGTGGGGCAGGGAGGAGCAGAGGGGGAGGGAAAGGGAGGGGAAAGAATCTCAAGCCGACTCCATGCTCAATGGGGAGCCTGAGGGGGGGCTCAGTCTCTTGACCCTGAGATCATGACCTGAGCCAAAATCAAGAGTCAGGCTCTTAACCAAGTGAGCCACCCAGGCGCCCCAACACTAGTTATTTCTTAGGCAACACTGTACAGTTGGAATTGCTGGAGTTGCCATTTAAATAATATATTTGCATATCAATAAATTATATACAGGAAGATTACATTCCCCACCACCTATTGTTTGAAAATGTCTGCTGCATTGTAAATATTGGATGTTGTGAAAAAAAATTTTTTATAGTGATTTTTTGAAAATAGGAAAACAGGAAAATTAGTGGATTCCCACAGAATTAAAAAATTCAGAATTGGGTAAGAAAGAAGCTCTGTTTGCCTGTGGCCTATAATTCCCTCCCACCTCTACCAGGAATAGTGTCCCAAAACTTTTGCATCTAGTTAGTGAATGAACAAGTATTTTTAAGGAATTACATGTCCTTGGTTCTGTGCTAGAAACCGTTTGGTAGTTCCAGAGGCTGAATATATAATCCACACGTTCAAAGAACCTATAGTAAGAATGTAGGAAAAGTATCCTAGACACAGGAAAGAATAAGATAGGATTCAATCATGCATACAAATACTCTAAACATTCAGAAGACCGACGTCATCAGCGTTTTGTCAGCCCCCAGACTGTTTAAACAACAAAGCAGTGTGGATGTGAGAAAGGAGCAAACCTGTAGGTACTGGAATCCAGAAGGAAGTACATAGATCGACTCACACGTTGTCTCTTGAACTAACTACGTGCTCTCAGGTAAGTAGCTCTGGGGTAATGCCCTGGCTTCTTCGTCTGTAAAAGGTGGTCCATCATAACGCTGTCCCTACTAACCTCAAAACATTTTGGCAGAGATGGAAACACTGAGTACATTCTATAAAGTGACTTAAATTTGTTAATCTCTAATATATTTGTCCAGAGGCACAGAGCTGCCTTTTATTTACACACATGATTCATAACTACTTACACAGACAAGAGGAACAGTTTGAGGGAATGTTTATTGAATTATTAAGTAGTCCTAAATATTTGTAGAGTATTTCTGTAATCAGAAGACTTACCAACAATGAGACTTCGAATGAGCCACTAATCTCTGTGCAATGTTATTTTCTGTTTCTTGCATGTGCCTTAATATCATGCCTAAGGCCTTCCCTTATGCCAGTGAAAAGCCTTTCTCAGGAAAGAGAATGGTGTATTTATATATACTATGTGTCATATAGTACTGTGTGTCATTTATAGTAAATTTAATGGGAACTCAGCTTAGGGGACAAATGTAAAAAACTACAGGGTCAGAAATGAAAGCAAATGTTCCACAAAATAGGTCCCTGGTTCATTTTTCAGCAAATGTTAATTGATAGGATATGATGTCCTTAACCACTTACATCAATGCATTTTTATTCTTCATTGTAATTAATGCTAATAATTAAGTTGAATGAAAAAAAATATTTGCTCTTAAGGGGACTCAGTATATGTTCTAACTCTCTATGTAGGACATTTACTTGGTATCCCATCTAAGAATTTTCCATTGCACGCTTATCATAGTAGTAGTCAGATATGTGGGCATGTATTAACTATTTGGAGTTCTATTAAACGATGAAAGTTCTTTACTCCTAGCAAGAGGGGATTTGAAGGAGAGAGGTGAGGTTATACAAAATTTGGGTGCTGCAAGGGAGAGGGTTGGTGGCTGGAATTTAAAATTCTATTATTACTTAAGAATACCACTTATAGAATAGATTCCTGAGCTTGTTGTTAAACCCTAAAATGTTTTAAAAGTCGTTAAGTATTATGAAACATGTTACTCAGAAATGAACCTAAGTAGGATAATATACAAAAAGGGAAGGGGTACCTGGCTGGCTGAGTCAGTAGAGCATGTGACTCTTGATCTCTGGGTTGTGAGTTCAAGCCCCATGTTGGGTGTAGAGATTACTTAAAAATAAAATGTTAAAAAGGAAAAAACCAGAGAAGAGAAAGCTTTACGTAGAAAATAAATTCAAAATATTTAGGTTGTAAAAATGGGGGCACCTGGATGGCTCAGTCGGTTAAGCGACTGATTTCGGCTCAGGTCATGATCTCAGGTTCCTGGGATCAAGCCCAGCCTCAGGTTCCCTGCTCAGTAGAGAGTCAACTTGAGGATTCTTTCTCTCCCTCTGCCCCTCCCCCAACTTGCTCTCTCTCTCTCTCTCTTCTCTCTCTCAAATAAATAAATAAAACTTTTAAAAATAAAGATTGTAAAAATAATTCAGGTTGTATATGTTTTGAGACAGTCTTTAAAAAGTTTTAATTTGTGGCTTATGCCAGTTTACAATAAAATTTTAATACGTTTCTACAGTAGAATTCATAGATCTAAAACTTACCTTAAGAAATTACCTAATTTCCATCCTCTTTTCCTTAGCAGAGATGATTTCTAGTAATTTAAGAAAAATATGTCTTCTTTTCATAGAATCAAAGACAAAGACTCCTGTGTTTTGGCTATTGTAGACATGCTGCTATAAACATTGGGGTGCAGGTGCCCCTTCGGATTGCCACATTTGTATCTTTGGGGTAAATACCCAGTAGTGCAATTGCTGGGTCATAGGATAGCTCTATTTTCAAAAAAAATAAAAAAACAACAAAAAAAACCCCACAAAGACTCCTGTGTTTTGAAAAGCCATGAGCTAGGTACTTGTCCTTATTCCTTATTTTGTGTCCTACAAATCACTGGATCAAAAAGCCCCAGTTCTTCTCTGATACAAAAAACAAAAAATACTTTCTCAGAAAAAAGAACATTGCTTTTATATTGTATTATATTATGTGTCATTTGCAGCTAGTTTTAAGAACATATTGATAACAGTAATATTGTGAGAAATCAATTTTGTTGTCTGGACTCTTATTTCAAACAAAGAAAAGTGTGTACTTGTACTTTAAATGTTAATAGTACTGCCCAATATACATTTCGTAGTTGTAATAACTATAAAACTAAGCAGATAAATAAAATATATCAGTGGCTGTATATGAATATATTTAATGTAAGTGACTAAAATTAAAAATGTTAATTACATTTTAATTTAAATTTTAATCATGTAATGATAAAAATAATTTACTACCGAAAATATGAAATAAAGTAAATATTTTGTAAAATTATAAACTAACAAAGGTAAGTAGTTTCTAAAAGTATAAATGAACAAGCGTCAATAATTTCATCTGCAGAAGTAATGGGATTGTGATAAAAATTATTGGTGGTTTCAATTCACTTGTGATTCCAACTTACTGATTTGTGTTTTGATTTTTGTGAAAAATGTTTAAAATTGTGATTTGAAAATATTTGTATTGTCAGATGACAGCATATCACACTAGAAGACAGATATGGAGATTATACAAAGAAAACTCTTAGTAATTTATATTAAAACCACAGTTCTCATGTGAGACCACCTCTGTGACTCTCGAGACCCACTGTCCAGCCCATAGCGCCCTATTTGAATATGACCCTATTTAAGCTTTGCCAAATAAGTAACTTTATCTTAAATTTAAATTTTCAGGAGAAAGTCATTCTTTCTACTCTCTTTAGTCAATAGTGATATCATAATCACCTGATAGTAACAACTGGATATGCTCTGCTAGAAGCTGGTTTTATCAGCTGGTTTAACACACTGGTTTTGGGGTCTTTTTTTGTTTTTTGTTTTTTGGGGGGTTTTTTGGAGATTTTATTGCCAGAGAATTCTCTCATTGATAAACGGAATTCCTAACTCCTCCATTTAAACATGATCTGTCTTATTTGATTTAATAAATAATTGTTGGTGGCCTATTATGTTAAAGAGGAGAAAAAAGAAAAACAGGCTGACTCATCATCCCGTAGCCATCTGGCCTTAAAGGCCCACCTTTTTAATAGGGCGGCAGTAAGCTTCGTGGTCTCGTTGGTGGGTTCTGTGCTATGATGGGCAAGATCTGGATGCTTTCATTCCATTATTAGTCATTTATCCATGGGAAGGTTATTTGTCACCAACAGCTCCATTTTATCATTTAAATTCTAATGGTACCTTCCTTATGGGATTATTTGGACTGAAAGTTAATGTAGCAGTTAAAAATTTTTGATTACCACTTAGCACAGTATCTGACACATGGAAAACTCTTAACAAACCCAATTATTATCAGGCCTTTTTTTTTTTTTTTCAATGTTGCTGTCTGAATGACTTTTCACTGAAAACTGCTGTTTAGTGAGGAGACCCAGAAAAGGAAAGAGCGTCATGCTAAAAGGTTGACCATTGCTGAGTGTTAAGAGAGGATTACCTTTATTTCTTGTGTGACCTCTGGCAAATTATTTACTTCCTTGTGCCTCACTTTTCTCATCTGGAAAATGGGCATAATAGTTCTCACCTAATAGGTGAGTAAATTAAAGGAATTTAACATACGTATTTAGAACAATGCCTGGCACATAGTGTTTGTTAAATAAGTAACTAAATAAAATTATGTAGATCACTAGCAATACACAATTGCTAATCTGTCAATCATCTTGTTTGGTTTCTGGGTTGCTGAGGGATCCCGAACCAGTCAACCCTTTCTAAACAGTCAGAATTCCAAATAAA